GAGTAATGGATAATATTTTAAGAGGTTTACAGAACGAAATTTGCTTTGTATATTTAGACGATATAGTAATTTTCAGTACATCATTAGAAGAACATTTAGACCGCCTCAAGAAAATTTTTACAAGATTACGGGAATCAAATTTCAAAATTCAAATGGACAAATGTGAATTTTTGAGGAAGGAAGTAAATTATTTAGGACATGTAGTAACACCCGCAGGAGTTAAACCAAATCCTGATAAGACTTCGGCAATAAAACATTTTCCCATTCCAACTACTCCAAAAGAAATAAGATCATTTTTAGGACTGTTGGGTTATTACAGACGTTTTATTCCAAATTTTGCCAAAATTACGAAGCCCCTCACTATATGTTTAAAAAAGGACCAAAAAGTAAAACAGCCGAGAATTCGTCGAATCATTCGAACATTGCAAAGAACTTCTGGTAAATTCCCCTATATTGCAATACCCAGATTTCGAAAAACCATTTGTTTTAACCACGGACGCTAGTAATTTTGCAATTGGTGCCGTTCTTTCCCAAGGTTTGGCTTTTTAATCTAAAGGAACCTAACAGTAAACTTGTTCGTTGGCGCTTAAAATTGGAAGAGTACGATTATGAAATCGTGTATAAGAAAGGAAAACAAAACACCAATGCGGACGCATTATCACGAATAAAATTGAATGCCTTAGAAANAATATGATCATAGTCATAAACATATATTAATGAACGTGCCTTAGCCGTATGTCGTAATAATTTCTTGGCTGGAAAAGTGAAAGGAGATGGCGTATGGTTTCCGACTAGTGCTGTCTCTTTTATTACACGCTTACGCACTATCGTGAGACAGATGGATATCGTCCGAAACTTCGTTTTATCTCTTTCTTTTGTTGTACTACAAAAACAAAAGATGCAAGACCATTAATTTCATTGTTGTTTTCATTTCGTCTAAGTTTTTACATTTGAAATAACTATCAATTGTCCACGGCACAGTTTTGTTATGTCAAAGTTAGTGAAATTATCTAATTTTATATAAAAATCCAAATTTACTCAAAATTTTCAAATAAAGCAATATAAAACATCCTCATGGATCGAAAGAGGATAAAATGATAAAAGCAGCCGACAGTTGAAATTATTTTAGTTAAAAATATCATCCTCGATACACGGTTAGTTTACCTAAAACGTCTAATGTACCACCAGTTTGATAAACCCTGATATGAAATAGAAAAAAGGTTTCGTTTAAAGGGTAGCTCTGTTAAAAATAGGTTTAATAGGAAAAAGTTATTCAGAATTCCAAAACATGGGGCCTTGCAAAGAAATATTACCTTGAATTGATCTAAAAGATTGATTAAACATAAAATTTGAATTTGAAATATAAATATGAAAGTGAGACTAAGAAACAAAATTTTCTTTAAAACGAAATATCGCCATATCTACATTCACCCAGCAGTTATATTCACCTATATTTCACACGCTAAGCATTGAGTACGTATAATATGCCAAACTTCAAAGTATTCTAGGAAAACCCCTTATGTACCTCTCATGTTTACAGAAACTGCAAATAAACCTTTTCAAGTGTTACATATTGATGTGTTTAAATTTGACAAGCAAGAGTTTTTAACTATCATAGACGCATTTTCTAAATTAGGTCAAGCATTCCCAATTCAAGCAAAAACTGCAATCGAAATTTGTAATAAGCTTTTACAATACTTTTGTTTTTATGGCCTACCTGCCTGAAAAGATAGTTATGGACAATGGAACAGAATTTAAAAATGACACGGTAAAGGAATTACTAAAAGCTCACAAAATAGATATACATTTTACTACCCCATTTCACCACGAATCCAACTCATTGATTGAACGGTTTCATTCAACTCTTATAGAACATTTAAGAATACTTAATCAAAAATATCAAAATTACCCTATTACAAAAATAATGTTATATGCACTTATTGCCTATAATAATACCATACATTCAAGTACACACTTTACGTCTTTAGAAGTAACTTTAGGTCATACAAGTTGTAGAGACCCTCCATTTTAATAGACGTAACATATTATAGAGACTACGTTGCGAATCATAGCGACAAAATAAAACACTTGTATCAGAATATATCCGAAAATTTAAAAAGAAAGAAAACAAAAGTTCTGGAAAAAAGAAATATCAAAGGTGAGACACATCAATTTAAAATTGGTCAAACTGTCTATAAGGTTAATGTTCAACGTGATAAAAAAGAAAATAAATTTAAAGGACCTTACGAAATTATCGAATTATTAGAAAATAATAAAGTAAAGGTTAAAAATAAATCCAATAACAAGACAGAAACTATACACGTAAAAGAATTAAAAATACCTCTTGTTTCAGATACACCTTCTGCTTCGCAGTAGCAGTAACTTCTTCAAATTTTTACAATCTGAATAATAACCCCGGAATTCTACCGCTTAAATTAGGTATAGCACAAAATGTTATCAATCACTGGTCTCTTGTACAAATCTTTGATATTACAAATATGATAAATGAATTCACGGCACTCAAAAATAGTTTCCAAAAACTCAAAACAATAATTGAAAATTCTACGCAACATAAATATGAATTTTATAATTCCTACAATTTAATTACGACATTACAGAACAAAATAAGTACTCAAATATACCAGATTAATCCTGCTTATAATAAAAGAATTAAAAGAGGTTTAGTTAATGGTTTAGGATCAATAATAAAATCTCTTACCGGAAATTTAGACAATGAAGATGCTGAAAGGTATGATAAGGCTATCTCTACTCTCTCAGAAAATCAAAAGTCAATTCAAAACCTAATGAGTAGTCAAGTGACGCTCCTTCAAAACTCTATTCAAGCATTTAAAGATATTACACTGAATTTGACGCATGACCAAATAACTTTAAGGAACCGTATCAACGAAGTCGAAAAGGCAGTTAAAAAATCAAATTTATTTAACATGGAAACGCGTGATCGTTTCTTGTTGCAAATGTTATTGTCTCAAATAATTACCGAATTCCAAGTAATACATGATATCTTTGAAAAGTTAGAAGTGTCAATAACGTTTTCTAAATTAAGAACGTTGCATAATTCATTAATAGAACCTAACGAATTTTTTAAAGAAATTCAAAACATTAAAAAACAATTAAGGAAAGGAAAATTGCCATTTGACCTTACTATGGAAAATGTTGTTCTTTTTGAAAAAATTATAGAGATAAAAAGTTACAGTAAAGAAAACAAAATTTATTTTATTTTCGAAGTCCCAATAGTTGAATCTGATGATTACGATTATTATCATTTATACCCTTTACCTACACCCATTAATGAAACCTTTAAAGTAATCACTCCTGAGACCGATTTTCTTATCCTGAACGAGCACAATTATGCAACATCCAACTCAAGGTGCAAAGAAGCTACTACGGGCCAATATGTTTGCAACGACGTTAATTCCATTAAACTGGACGAGAACGTTCCTTGTGTAATTCAGCTAATTAATTTCCATGAAAATCCTTCCAATTGTAACCAAAAATTGGCTGACATAAGAGAACCTAGGGTCAAGAAATTAGAAAACCAAAAGTGGATCCTAATTGTTCCTGAAGAAACAATCGCGACGCGTAAGTGCGGTAACTTGAAAGAAAATTTCCCTTTAAAAGGAACGTACATTGTGGAAATAGACATCAACTGTGTAATAATGCTAAAGAACATCGAACTAAAAAGTGATAATCATCCAAAGTTAGTGTTTAAAAATATTGAACTGCCAAAATTAAATTTTGTGTTTAAAAATGATAATGACTTCTCCGTCAATTTCGAATTATTTACACTCAAACCTGTTGGTCTAAATAATATTAGAGAAATACAAAATGCATTGAGTTTACAAGAGAAGAATATAAAAGAATTAAATGTGCCAAATATAAGCATTCATAAGGCCAGTGTTTGGACAATCACCCTGTATATCATCATAGTGCTACTGTTACTGTTCTATGTGTTTAAAAAAGCTTCGCTAGCAAAACTAAAGAAGATAAAGGAAAAAGAGAATGAAACAATTATAGTCTAAATCTAAATTCGCAAGCTCTCATGGACCTTGGCTCATATCTACGTCGGGAGGAGTTATATTCACCTATATTTCACACGCTAAGCATTGAGTATTATATTACTCGTATGTTCTATGTATTGCATTAAATCTAATGCCTCATCATTTTTTTTATATATGTATTATGTATTTTCATTTTTTATGTGCAGAGAAAAGAAAAAATAGTTTTTAGAGCAAGTTGCTTTTCATCCTTCTAATGATTCGAATTCCCGAAACTTAATTCAGCTGCAAACTTTTTGAGTCATTTGATCCAAAACAAAAATAATTTTAATATCGCCGCTATTATTTGCATAACTTAATATTTTGGCATTCTGAACATCTTTTTCATATGACTTTTTTCGATCGGTCCCATATTTAGCAGTGCTACAATTCAAACGAAATTTTCTTTTTTAATTTTTTAGTCCATATGGCAAATGAAATTTAGATATAATAAGCGATCTAGTACTCAAATAGGGAGTTTTGTTTGAAAAATTTTTTGATTAAACTTATAATGTAGCTGCAATGACCATCATGTAGCGTATTTTTTTGGCTACGCTGTATAATTTATTGCAAGGAAACAATAATTTTATTTCTTATCATCCCTGAAAAATTACACACTGATTTAAAAATATATTTTTGTGTGATATACCCTAATTTATTTTTATAAATATTTAATAACCTAGTCAAAGTTGATAAAAATAAGTTATTGGAAATTGGCTTATAATTGACAGGACAATCTTAAAGCATTAGTTTAAGAAGTTACATTAAGGAATAACATGCAGTCCTAAAGCACATCACGATATTAAAATGCATGAAAATAATGTTAAAAAATATAGCCATGGGAATTAAAAATTGTAACCAATGTGCTAGTATTAATTTTATTTATTACAGTAATTTCTTTACACGGTAAAACTAAGAGGACACATAAAACTACTACTTGTTTATATCACACTGTATTTGTAATGCTTAATATGTACTAGTCAATGTATTTATATCAGATATCAGCCTGTATTCACACTGCTTATTTATATTACTGCTCAGCTACCCATAAACTAACTGACTGGCTAACTAACCCCGTCTATCATCTAGAAGCCTACTTCTTTTATCCGGGAATCCTCTGCAACAGTCTTCATTTTACTCAAGAATCCTGGAACTCCTATTGTTAAGCGGCAAATATGTGTCACTCATGGTATGATTATTACCCTCGGCGTTTAGTACAAAGATTGTCGACCATCGATCGGTCTCTGCCTGCAGGCATGCTTAAGAGCTGTCGGGAATCAATGCATTGATTATCACGTGCATGCTTCTACATAGCAAAATGATAAAAATAATGAACGAATATCCCCATATAATATTGCACTTACCTCAACGGATACACATTGTTTAGACGCACAAATCGATAATTGGAAGCGGCAACTCGCCCAATCGCGTAGTAGTATTAATGGTATAGATACGGAATAAATATAGTTTCATAATTATACTAGATATAGGAGCATAAATTTCATGCGAATGAGTCTAAAAAACATCAACATCACTAGTAAAGATTGGAAAACGTATTCATATACTGCACGATGAGGGACTTCGCATCAATTTCGGAATTTTCGGTTATCAAACTAAAACGTAAACGAAATCTTGCATACGCGGTATGAAGGGAAGAGGTAAGGAGAATTAGTACTTACTTCTACCCTCCATAATACGCGGCAAGTGTTTATGTCATAGATGTATACATATTTTTGAAACGACATTTATTGAAGATAATTGAAGCTTTATTTTGTATCTTTTCTCTTAGAGTTTAATATAGTAAACTATCCAACTCCTTTTATTACCTCAGTTTTATTTCAAAATTTATAAAACCAACACACACTATCTTTTACGCAGTTCGCGTTATACTTTTAGCAAGCCACATACTTATTGGGCAGAGCACTCTCTTTTTAAGATTACAGGAGATTATCCATCATGCGTAGACTATTGTTACTATAGTTTATGATTATTTACATTTTTATTTTTATTGTTGTCGTGTCGCGTCGGGTCGCGTGTTCATCGTTCTTCCAGTTGTACTGTGTTAACCATGGAAAAACACTTGGAAATATTATATATTATGCATCATATAACGACTAATTGGATGCTTCCCGTTATAATTAACACCTTCATTTTAATTAAGGTGTAATTTGAATTTCTTATTGTGATTGCTGATAACGGCATTTGGTCTCCTGACCTCTAAAGTTAGAGGTACGGTTATCACCTTGTTTTGTACAAATATAGTATTTTTCCCAAAAAGATGTAAAAATATCGTACTTTTGGGAAATTCAAGAAAAAAGTACAAATATATTTTTAATCATTATGTATTTTTCCATATATATTTGTTACTGCTCTTCACTTTGACCATCAATGATATATAAAATAATTATAGAAATCTGAGCAACATAGATTCATATTAAACTAAACTAAAAATTCATTTTTAATTAAATTAAAATATGCTCTATTTCTTTCTTTTTTACATTTTACATTCATTACGGAAAAAAATCATTCCGTAAAAGCGGAAGTTGCAGGAATGGAAAGAAGAAAGCAAATAATTTAAAATATATTGTCAAAATTGTATCTGTACTTTTGAAAAGTATTTGCTTTTTTTCAGCGCAGAGTGCTTTTAGATATTAGAAACACCTCTTCTTTACTTATTTGTAAAATAATTTCATTTACCATAATTATTTCTGAATACAAATTATTAACATTAATTGACTAAATTCAAAGAATCCAACATGAAATTCATTTTTCATGTTTAAATTTAGAAACTGACATTGGTTAAGTCAATTAGTTGGGTAAAAATCAACCCATTTCTTTAAATAAATGAAGCTCCTCTGAAGAAAAAACATAAGCTCCTATTAATCCTTCTTCCAGACTTTCAGTTATAATTAATATAAAAAAGCTAGACAGTTAAATTAGGAATAAAAATATAGTAAAGCGAATATGGTGGGCGCAGCGGAAAAGAAGAGGTTAGAAGTGTTTGAAATGTGGTGTTACCTGCAAATGACGAGGATACCGTGGATAGAGAAGATTAGAAATGAAGGGTTATTAGAAAGAATAAAAGAACAAAATAGGCGAGATAGGTTGGTAGGATACCTTCTCAGGCATGAAGGCAGTGTTGCCAATTCGAGAGATTTATCCCGATTCGAGGGATTTTTGACGTTCTCGAGGGATAAAGGGATTTTTCCTTATTTTTGCGGGATTTTTTGTAATTTGCCATTTTCTGGTTGGTTTTGTTTGATTTTGTTGACCTGATATTATATTATGAAGGCGCTCATTTTTCTAATTGTAAACGTAAAATTTTGTCAGCTATAATCGTATAATGCTGTACGATGAAACGGTTGATATATGACGGCGACGTGCGTTCAAGCCTACTGGTGCAGGTACCTGCTCAAGTCCCTACGATAAATTGTCTTGAACTTTTTTGAATTGGTATATTGTTCCAAAATCCGAACATCTAGACATCTAAACCCCCAAGGCCTGGTTTTGTCTGCATTTTTGGGAAACGAGATAATTACATACAATAAAATTATCGGTATTATACTATCGACACGAAAAGTTGTCCATGTTTACAAAAATATTGTATATTTTTTCTTCGAATAAACGATTAAATTAACGAATTAAAAAATAATAATAGTAATAAGTTGGAGGGATTTTTAGAGAAAATATAGGATTTTTTGGACCTGTGCGTGGGATTTTTTCCTGTAGTAGGTTGGCAACAGTGCATGAAGGTCTAGTCAGAAACAGAAACAGTAAGGAGGAGTAGAGGTAGACCTAGATCAGATTACTGTTCGAAAGTAGTTATAGATGTAAGATGTTCTAGTTTTGTAGTTATACGATTCAGTGTGGATCTTTTGATTCTGGTGCAATAAAAATGTTATAATGTTAACCTTCGTACTGATACATCCTTTTACTGCAATTCTAATCATGGCATAGTTGATAATCGTCAAGCATCAGACGAAGAGAGTGATTGAAATATATATCCATATAATAAGCCAAATGTTGACTCCTGGCTTAATGCTACAGCTGCTGTGTGCTCTGCTAGTGAATCAAATTCTATTAGAAGATTAGTTAGTGTTAAAGCTTTAAATATTACCTTGAATTCATTTGCTGCTGCAATCACAAGTACTATAACAAAAAACATCCCTTTCAGCATCCACAAATCTACAGCTGAACTTGAATCTTCGTCTTGATAGTTTGCAATCCACCATCAATATCTGCCATTACTACGGTTACATCTCTCGAGTTTAAGCTAGAGGAACATTCACCTCAATGTCTAGGTCTCTGGGAAATGCCAAGAATCCAATAATACTCTGAAACAAGAAATCGTATCATCCAAGTCGTCATCATAAGCTGCTGTTTCTGAGTATTTAAACTATATTTAAGAATCCTTAGTTTATATAATTTATATTATTAATAGATGGGCAAGATCGTTTAAACAACTTAGTACTTTTCAAGATTATTGATAATCGATCGGGCCATGATAAAGAAACCATCCTTAACATAATCAAGCAATCTAAAAATTTTAATAATAATAATGTTGTCTCTTGGGTCCTAAAAAGGGTGTATGCCGCCCCCTTCTGGTCACATTCAAGTGCAGGGAAGATGTTATGACTATCTTTTGTGACAAAAACACTCTTTATATACACTACTTCTTCACAACAAATAAGACCGCTGCCTAACGTGCCTATATAAGTTTTGGAAAGAGGTCCTTGAACATAATAAAACTAATTGGTCGAGGAAATAAAGTACAAAAATAGGCCAAACCTAGGAAATGCGCTTTTCTCAATTCGATTCGTGCGACTGTCTACAAACTTTGTGAACATATGACATCAATTCATCTTCAAAATTGCATCGGTACATTAGGCAAATACGGTCTTATAAGTTATTACAAAAGAAACTTGGTCAATAATGATAGAAATAAGCCCAATTTTGTTACTTGAGGTTTTTAGGGTCGCTAAACACGAATATGCAGTCGACGACGGCCTCCGAGGTACCTATGCCCCAGGGCGACCATAATGCACGTCGTCTTCAGCAGTTATGTTTTAAATTCATTAAAAATCAATCGAAATTAATTAGTTGTATTCAAAAGCCCGAATGTCCCATAATTTTTTTGTAATATCATCAACTCATTGCCTATAAAATTTGATGTTCTGCACTTCACGCGTCAATAAAGAAACGCTCGAAAAAGCCCCCGCCGCGGAAATTTTGTCTTCTGCGGCCGTATTCCTGCTTCGCTCGCCTTTAGCTACGCTGCGTGCATTGACGCACGTTAGCATTCTACGTTAAAAGAAACATTTATAGGCTTTTTAAATAAAAAAAAGAAGCAGCGTCAAGTAACTGTCTTTTTTAATTACGTCATTAATTTATTAGGTGCGTATGTACAATCATCATTATATATAATTAATTAATTATTAACTCATTTGATTGTTTATTTTACAAACTTCTGAACTTAATAATAATAATCTAATATTTATTGTATTTATTCAGTTAATAGTATATTGTAACATGCGTCTCGTTCAAATCGAAATTTTGTCGCTTTTACCCCAGCGCACTTTCCCGACGCGCCGCAGTGCCGCTCGCGAGGGCGCCACTCGGGCTTAGCGATAGAGACGCACGTCCTCCTACGCTTGTGCGACTACCCTTTCCTGGTGACTCGGTTCGATGCACCCCGACCAGGGGTATAAAAGTACTGGCACCGGACATGAAAGGGCCCTCTACGCTCGACCATCGTTATACGAATCACGTACTATACACCGATTTTTATCACCGATACGACCAGAGCTTTTTCCACAGCGAACCAGGCGTTCACTACAACTGTCCGTGACTGGAAAAATTTATTATCCAAAGTCTACAATACAGCCGTAACAAACCTTTTTTCCTGATTCTGCAGTCATATAAAAAGTCCAGTTCTACCTAGCTAGCCATTTTCAGCATGGCTACCCCCAAGAGCTCCGCACTCTTGGAGGGATTTTCCTTTGCGGACGCCATTGCCCTGGCGAGTGATCTTCAGGCCAAACTCGTCGAAATAAACGAATTTATTCGTTTATTTTCATCTCCACAATCACCTACGCCAATGACCGAAGACATTGAGTCTTCATCCGCTGCTCCCCTTACCGACGCCATTTCCTCCCAAATGGATTCAATGCCAGGTCCTAAGTCGTCCAAGGCAATTTCTGACAGCTTTAACCGTCTTCCCAACACCGACCGACGAGAGAAGGACGGCTTCGTCAAAGCAAGCAAACGCGCCAACAAGCGCCGACGACAGCAACCTCTCCTGTCGTCGTCCGATTCCTCCTCCTCTGACAACGAATCCGACTTAGAACCATTCAATCTAAGTCAAAAATCTCCCCTCCCCCAATCGTCATACGCCAAAAGTGCCTTTGGCCGAAAATTCTTCGTACCATGGACAGTCACGGCATTTCCGCTCGTAGGACAATTAATACTCAGGGCTCAATACGAGTCTATCTTACCTCCATCGGCGATTTTCGTCATCTATTCACTTTCTTGGACGAATCCAAAGTCCAATTATTTACAAACCAGCATCAGAAAGACTGTGACCTTCATGCCATTATCCGTGGTGTCTGCGAAGACACCCCAGCGGAGGACATCGAGTCCGAACTCAGCCACAAGGGCTTTATTATTAAAGGTATCCATCGTATGTCCAAAGGTAACAAAATCTGGCCCGTTGTCTCCGTCCGTCTTGATAAGACCGCTACAAATTTCAAGACAATTTTCCATCTTGGTCGACTCTGTGATCGCAACATCAAAGTTGAGTAAAAGATAATACGGAGGAAGTTCCCCAATGCTGCCGCTGTTTGAAATTCTTTCATACAGCCAATTACTGCCACGCAGCCTGGGTCTGCGCTTTCTGTGACCGTAACCATAAAACTGCCGAGTACACAACCAAGGACAAGAAGGATGTCACACCCACTTGTGCCAACTGTAAAGGGAACCACCGCGCCACCTACCGCGGCTGCCCCAAGGCTCCCAAAAAGATCTCCCATTCCCGCCCAAGAAAATAATCACTCCTGTTGCTTCCCAAGACACGAGAACTACCCCCCTCATCCTCCTCCTACCACCTTAGCAATGCCCCTCCAAAAATCCTACGCCAAGGTAGTAAGAACTGCCCCCTCTCTCCCTACCCAAAAGCGCAACACTAGCACTTCTCCAGCTTGCAATCCCAAGTTTGGAATAAAAACTTCAAGTTATTGTCCAAACCATAGTCTCCAGCATTGTCGCCGCCCTACAACTAACCACCAATGTCTAACACCGCCCAGCCAGACAATCTCCGCATAGTTACCTAGAATGCGCAAAGCATTAGAGGTAAATTGACTGAACTCGAGCACTTCCTCGAGGATAAGTCAATCGGTGTTGCTTGCATCAACGGAACTCACCTGTCCGAAAAAATCAAACTTCTCATCCTACAGTGAAAACCGCAGTGCTGGCGGTGTCGCCATTCTTGTTAGGAATTCTTTAAAGCACAGGCCTATCTCTTTGGCCGCAAACTCGTTAGAAACAGTCGGCATCGACGTTTCGCAAACTTTCGGTCCTCTTAAGATTATCTCTCTCTACTCCCCCCTTTCGGACAAAGACCTTTCTGAACTCCCCCTTCTACTCCTCCCCGGCGTTCCAACTATCGTCGCCGGCGATCTTAACGCTAAACACGTCTCTTCGTGCTGTCGACAAACCAACAGCAAAGGCATCTCCCTTCTTGCCAAAATTCTTTACTTCAACTTCACAGTTGAAGCACCTACTTATCCTACATTCCTCTCTCCCCCCACAATCAATTTCCTGACATCCTTGACATTTTTGTCACAAAAAATGTTACACTTTCCGCCGATCCTATCGCCATTGACGCACTAAGCTTGGACCACCTTCCAGCCTTGATTGAAGTCGGCCGCCCAATCAAAAGCCCCCCAAACCCAACCATGTTATTAGATAGGCTACCCGTCCATTACACCCTCGAAACATCTTCATACAAGTGCACTCCAATTCGCTCAATAGCGGAACTTGACGAAGCTAAGCTGTGAATCTCCTTTCAAACGAGATTACCAGCGCTATCGAGCTCTCCAATACCTCCCGCCCCACGCCCACTAAAGACAGAACCCTCCCCGCAGACATTCTTGACCTCCTCAGGAGGAAAAACAAGGTCCGACGTCTGCGGAATAGACACCACCTCCCCGCACACCGTGCAGAAGTAAACGCCCTTCAACGAGAACTAAGAACTCGTCTCACTGAATTCCGCAGCGCATCCTTCGATGATTATATCGCTCAGGCAGAAACACACCCCCGAAGCACTTGGAAAGTGATCCGTTCTCTTCGTAACAGAGCTCCCCATCTTCCGCCACTAAAACAGAACGGCTCCACCTGTTCTTCAGATGAAGAAAAAGCTGCAATCTTCGCATACTCCAGTGCTCCCCACTACCCAGTCAAGCGGACCTTGCCGACTTTCACGAGCGTATCAAAGCCGTCTCCCAGAACTACGTTCCCCTACATTCCGACTTTAGACACACTAGACCCTATGAACTCTCCCTTACTATCCATTCTCTGAAACAGAGGAAAGCCCCTGGCGCTGACGGAATTCAAAACAAAGTCCTCAAAGTCCTACCGCCAAAGCACATAACCGCACTGTGCAACATCACAAACGTCGTCATGTGGCTGCACCACTTCCCTTTGGTCTGGAAAGAAGCCACTGTCATCTGCCTCCTCAAAAAAGGGAAGAACTCTCCCTGAAACTACAGGCCTATCAGCCTGCTCAGTTCGTTGAGCAAAGTAGTTGAACCCATCCTTCTGGATCGGCTCTTAGACCACGTGGAGCAAAACAACATTCTCCCCGATTTTCAACACGGTTTACGCAGGCATCCGGCACCGGCCACCAACCAACTTCGCCATGTAACCGAACATCTCCTTCAACCTTAACAACAACCTTCTTCTTGACGTCCAACAAGCGTTCGACCGAGTCTGGCACGAAGGCCTTATCTCAAAAATCATCGCCCTTAACATTCCACATTTTCTAGTTCCGGTTATTAGGTCCTTTCTCACAGACAGAAGCCTTCGGGTCCACGTCGGCTCTATTCTCTCTGCCAGTAAACCCGTCACTGCCGGTGTCCCACAAGGCTCCAAACTATCACCTATTCTATTTAACCTGTTCTGTGCAGACATGCCCTCCGACACTTCTATTCTGACAGCTCCCTAAGTGGACGACATTGCCCTCATAAACTCCGCTCAAACCATTCTCCAATGCACAGGGAGTTCTTCCCCTGCTTCTAAACGTACCGAAAATGGAAACTTTCCATTAACAAGACCAAATCTGAAGAAATTGTCTTCTCTCGTAGGTCCCGAAAACCTCCCTCCATCTTAGTAAACAACCGTTCCATCAAGTGGAGCAACTCTGTCACCTACCTAGGCGTCGTTTTCGATAGGACCCTAAATTATCCGCTCCACATCGCAACTACCCATAACAAGGCAATGGGTGCATTCATCGCACTCAAGCCTTTCTTCCGAAACCACTCCATCGCCCAACATACGAAAATCCGTGCGTTTAACGCAAAATCAGGAGCATTTTCTCCTACACCATTCCCGTCTGGGGCTGCGCCCCTCCTTACCGCCTAAAACCCCTTCAAGGCACCTACATGCGGATCCTTCGTTCCGCATTAAACTATCCCTAATTCGTCAGAAACACCCAAATTCTGAAAGAAACCGGCTTTATCTTCTCTCCCTGAGGCTGCAATCTCATTCGCAGCAAGTCTCCGGACCTCAGTGTCAGCCCCCCCCATTTCGACACTCTCCAACTTCGCCCCGAAGCCAAACGACCGATTCGAAAGCCCTGTCACCTTCTACAATCAGCCACTCCCTCTCGCTCATTCCTAGCTTCGCTTTTTAGCGCGAGTGTCCACCCATAACTCCCGAGGTGGACCATGACGGTTCTCCCCCACGCTTTTACCTTCTCAACCCTCTCCCAAATCCCAACCTTCCATTTTCTTCCCGAGGATGAGTAACCCTCAGGGTTTATCTCTCCATTCGAGGAGGTGTTTTAGTCGGTAAAAGTCCGGCACTAACTTCCCTTCAGGGGGTGTATTTTGAAGATTTCTCCTCCTCGAGAATAATCTAATAAAAAAAGAAAAACACGAAAGGGAGACTAACATCAGTCTCAAGCTCCTTCTAAGAGTTTTCCCCAGTAGGAACATTCGAGTGGCCCTTAGACAGGGTGTCAGGAGTTTTTTTTGTATAGAACCCTACCTCCAAGTGCTAGTAAGAATATTGTGTGACGTCAACCAGTGTTTGTGTCAGATAATAGTGTTAAGTTTAAGTTTAGAGCCACACGCGGATTCACACTTTCACGTTGTGATTAAGAACGTTTGCATCGTGGTTAAACTTTCATGACATTTTGTTAGATTAAGGTAATATGTATATATTTGTTCTTTTTTCCATTATGTATATATAATAAGGTTAGTGTTAATAAAGTATTTTAAAAAACCAATCCACGACAAGTGTTACAATATTCAATTAAAGATCAGCTATGTTGTATCTTACAACTCAAATTACATTACAGTCGAAAAGAACTCTTTTAAATGTTTCAGTAGCTTATAATAAACAGTATACAATATTTATTTAGTTAACCCTTTCTCAAGGGTAAACATTTAAAGGAGTTTTCATTTCAATATAAAAAAAATTGATCACCGATGAATATTTTATTAACGATTGTATTTGTTAATTTAGGAGGAGAAGAGGTAGATAGATTAGAATACTGTTTGCAAATAGTTAAGGATATGGGTTGTTCTAGATTTAGGGAAATGCGAAGATTAGCGCAGGATAGGAAAGTGTGGAGATGCATGTCCAACCAGTCTTAGGACTGACGACCTTATGATGATGATAATGTATTTGTTAATAACTTGAAAAATTTCACAAATGAAAATGGCAGTTTTTACGATGATGTTATAGTACCATTATTACTCATTGGTATATCAATTTTTACTCAACGATGAATTAGCATTGCAGCACAACCTATTATTAATTGCACTCGTAGTTAATGCTCTCACAACGTCGCGTTGTTCTATTTAACAACATTGTTATATGTGGAGGTAATTATTCACCGCCATCGCCTACCCAAATATATATTTGGCACGAGCGGCCAATGAAATCCCACAAGCGAAAATTTCTGGTAGTAAACGTAAGTTACAGATAAATTGGAATTTGTAATGTTTCATATAGAAATTTCAATAAACGGTGTATGCATAGGTTAGAAGTGTAAGGCAATTAATGTTAGATTTAAGGAACTTTTAGCTTAACAGATTCAATAGAATGTTTATTTTAAAAAATAAATTAGGTACCGAACTATATAATATGTATGTCATAAAAAGTATATACATCACAGAGAGTACTTACAAAAAGTTCCACTAAATAAACTTACAAACCCATTCTTAACACTGGCATTGTATAAGGAAAATAAATACAATATTTACTAAATGCAGAACTAAAATGTCGTCTTAAGTATGCTAGTAGTGATCTTCAAATTATGTACGTGAAACTTTGTTATAACATATAATGCTCCTGAGGATCAAAAACGCTTTATAAACGGGATAGCGAAATAGGCAGGGAATAAATCAGTGATAGTATGATGTATGAAAGTGGGCTAGTCTTAAAACTGCACTTTCTGTAATATTATATTATTAAATATTGAGATCGTTTTCTCATTTTTTTCGCTAATCAGTTTTATTTATAAACAGTCATCATTTTTATTAAAAGCAAAAATTATTTGTTGAGTCCTCATCTATAGGTATAACTTATTATAAAACACTAAATAGCCCAAACCTACACACCCAAAACACGACACCAGGGACTGAAGAAGATTGGCGTTGGTGTTTGAGCTATTTAGAGTGTTCTACAATATTGTACAAGTTTTCCAGTATTCAAAACTAATTTATGAAAACTAGTTTCCCACGGGGGGGGGGGATTATTGCAAAAGTGCGTAATACAAGAGGTAATGTTACCAAAGAGAGTTATAACGAAGCCTCATTGTACTTTTGTACATTTTTTGAAATCGAAATAAATATTTGTTAAACAGCTGAAGTACGCATTTCAGTCATTTTATCTCCTCTGTTTATAATTCTGCAATAAAAATAGTTAAATCATCACATAAGTTTAAAAATACAATTAAAAACACGTAGTTAAAGTTGATAAGATAATATGGATGGTACACATAAGTACATAGTTTACAAAAGATACGTTATAAAACTAATGAATATAAAGCTTTAACTCAGATTTTACAATATCAAATTTCAAACTTTAGTCATATTAAGGCTTATAAATGCATGGAGGCTTATTTCTAACACTAAATTACGTTTGAATAAATCACAATATACTCATTTCATTCAATCTTCTAGTTAATAAGAACATTTTGATTAAAAAAAATAAATAAACGTGATTTCATTTTTAAATGTGTTCGAAAATTAAACCATGAGGATTAAATCCATCAAAACAAAATGTAAATATATAAACAAAAAACATCATCTAAGTTGGCATTTCTGTGAATTAGTTATAGTTTACATATACATAGTGTTCTATAAATTTTATAAGAAATATTTATGAACCTATTTGTTACAAAATTTTAAAATATTTCTGTTTTTTTATTCTAACGGACCACTGGTTATTCAAATTAGCAGCAATTACTTGTAAGATTATTAAGTTTCGAAGAAAAAATTAAATGGGCAATACATCTTTGATTTTTAGATACAACTGAGGTTTTCTCTAACATTTTCATATGTAT